AGTTTCTTGCTGTCTTTGAGTAGCCTTTACGTTGTACCAAAGTCTCTTCCTGTGTTTGAGCAGCCTGTCTTGCAGCTTGTGTTTGAAGTCTTTGATTGCGTTCTTCTTCTGTTTCAGCTGCTCTTTGTTCTTGCATTGTTTTAGCGGCAGAAGACTTTCCATAGTAAGGGCGTTTCTTGTATGGCATAATCACCTGTATCACTAAACAATAATTTGCAATTCACAAAGTTTCTAAATCACTTATGAAACAACTTAGCACTATTTAAAGAAAACTGTTTTTGGAAATACTGAATTGACAGCAAGGTGATCTGAGTGTCTCCCGCCATAACGCTTTCTATTTGCAAAACGTGCTTATCTTTGTATGTTTATTACAAAACAAATGGCGCAATAATCATTAATTGTCAATTTCGTCAAAAAAAAAAAACTGGTTATTATGAAGTAATTTTAAAACTTGTAAGTTCAACCGTTTGGTTTCCTATAGCGAACAAAATAAAGAAACTTCCTCTTTTATATATATAGATGCCAATTTCGTCATTAAATAGTACACCAAATACAAAATAAATAGCACCATTAAATTTCTTGTAAAAAACTGGTTATTATAAAGTTATTTTAAAATTTGTAAGTTCAACCGTTTGGTTTCTTATAGCGAACAAAATAAACAAACTTCATCTTTTATATATATATATATATATATATACATGTATATATAGATAGATATACTTGTAGCAGAACGTAAAACAAAGTGCTATCGCGGTGTGATATATATGTTCATTTGTTAGAACGCTACAAAAAACTTCCGTGAATCGTTACTGGAACTAATTCACAATGACTTTTACTGTATTTACTATGACCAGATGGGAACTACCATGAGTAAAGGACGTAATATATAACAATCCTATATTAGATCAGAAACTTCTGAATATTAATTTTGATTTGTGGGATGATAAGAGTCCCTTTACCTAGTTTCGAAATAATATCCCAATATAGGTTTAGAAAAAGGTCTGAAACTCCCGAACTTCTAACCGGTGCTTCACAAACATTAACTGGTCCACCCTAATATGTATGTATATATATATATATATATACAGTTGGATAGACAGATAGATGTTAACTCCATTTTATCAGTTACAGATGTGAATTGTTTTACATGCAAAAGTGTATGAACATATATGTGTAACATTAAACCAAACTATTCAGTTTAAAACAACAGTTTTTGATTATATCACACTTGTACATAATCTTTATATTAATCCACATGAATACAAAAATAATGTGACTTCAGGTTACTATTTTAATACTGAACAAAAGGTAAGGTGTTTCTCCATTGATATATTAATATTTATCACATTTCGTTTGGATCGATCCCACCAGTTATTTGTTCCAGGAACCTTCTTTTCATATCAGACGTCATAAGGATTTCCCGTAACGTCTACAAATGGGCCAGGGATCCCCAGAAAACTATTTGGGAGATTGAAGTAAAGAAAATACTTGTACGAGACTAAAACACGACTACGGGTTTATGGGGAAAAGTATAGAAATACGGGTTTGATGACAAGGTAAAATAGAAAAAATGTTTACAATTCTAATCGGCCCTAGAAGGCAGATTATATTGTTATTGTTTTGCTATTCTAGTAGGCCTATGGGCCTCGTAACTGATCAGAGCCGATTAAACGACTTGAATTTGGGATCCTGGTTAGGATGCAGGCAAAATGAAATCTTTGCACTGGGGAAGGGACTACCTGTGAAACGTCATGTACATGTTAATGAATATCAATATATCTTCATAAACACGTTTCAAGGGACATAGCAGGTTTTTGTTGTTGTTGTTGTTAAATCTATTGTTCAGTTAAAATAATGGACCTTACCTCAAAGTAAGTTTGTCTTCCGCCTGTATTCAAAGTAGTAATCTCGAAGCAAAAAGATGGCTCCAAGAGTCCACACATTATCTTTATGAAACATATTTAGGACTATCTAAAGAGATTAATTTAAAAGGTTTGAGTTACAGCTTTTAGTCATTGTTAACTGGCCAAACTTCTCCCAGAATAGAAGTAATTATTCATTCCCAGAGCAGTGCAACCACCTGTGTGAGTGCGTGTATAGATATTTTTGGCAAAGAAATACATACTTCTGTATAATTTAAAAATTCTCTGTGCCATGATAGTGTTATGCAAAACAGTGTAAAGTAAAGCATAAAATGTTAAATTGAAAAACGTTATGAATCATGAGATACTATAAGCTACTTGTTCACTCGCGATCTTCCGTGCATGAGACCACTCAATAGTATCGAGAATCCTAATAAAAGGGTGGTAGAAACAGATTAAAATGATTTAACAATTTTTAGGAAGTAGTTTGTTTGTTGAATTTCTCGTAAAGCTATTCGAGGGCTTTTTGTGCTAGCTGTCCCGAATTTTGAAGTGATAGACTAGAGGGAAGGCAGTTAGCCAACCCCACTCACCACCAACTCTTTGGCTACTGTTTATTCATGAATTGTTGAATTTGCCATAGCATTATAACGGCTGCAAGGTTGAGTGTGTTCACTAACGGGATTCGAACCCACAACCATCAGAGAGTGAATCGAGTGCTCTAACCACCAGACGATACCAAGTACAAGGAAGTAAGGTAACCCGCATTTAAGAAGTTCAGGTGTCCCCTCTATTCCTAAATTATCCAAATAAAGGCGCCTTAAACTTCCTACACACAAGAACTCATCAAGCAGGGAACATGACTGCTGCTAGTTTGTTCCTCATTCTCTTATCAAAACATTTCTGGCTACAAAAATTTATGAAACTGTCTTCACCAATTTTTTGTAAGAAAAAGATTTAAAAAAAATATCTACCTTTTAATTTAGCTGATTTTTCTGGTTACAACTGTTTCAGGAAGCACTGTTCCTCGTTGGTATTCATAGGCAAGACTGAATACCTTCGGTAAATTCCAATCTAATCAAAAACACCTTAGGTGTGGAAAAAATGTGCGCCCAAAAAAAAGGATTGAGTGTGCGACTTAAAGGAATGAAATCCAAATTGGCAGGCAAACTGGTAGTTACACTTATAGGATTGATAAGAATTTTACAGCAAATATTCATTTATTAGTTAACCGTGCCTTGTTTTTTATTTAATTCTTGGGGC